CCGTGCCGTCCCCGGGCCCACGGCCGGCACACGGGCTTGCTGGGCAGCTGTGTGCCGGGCCGCACGACCCGATGGCTGCCATGAGCCACACGCGAGGCGCCCTAGGAACCCTGCCCAGACGTTTGCTGGCCAGAATCAGGGGTACTGGGGTCCAAACAGCGGCGCAAGAGCAGCGAACCCCGGGCCCCGCCCCTGCCATCTTACAGAGAGGTAGCCTGACACCCAGAGTGAGAGGTGACGCCCCAGAGTCACACGCCTTCCAGCCAGAGAAGGGCCTGGCCCAGGTCCAGCGCCCACGGGTCGCCCTGGCCCTGGGCTGGGCACCTCTGCTTCCGCCTGCAGTACACCTGGGCCCACACGTCTCACTGGGGCTGGGCCTGCTGCATCTAGAGGACATGCACACGTGTATATAGAGCTATACATACCTATATATACACACACACCCCTGTACACACAGCTGTACACACACCGTAAGCCACCCCTACACAATCACTGTACACACCCACCTAAACACACTCATTCATCCCCCCCACACCCAGACACCTCCAGCCACCCGGCCTTAGCGGGGTCTGGGCTCCAAGTCCCTGTGGTGAAGCCCCAAGAGCAGGACAGACCACACTGCCTGCCAACCCACTGAGGCTGGGGCTAGCTAGCTCCTCACTGGTCTGGGGGTGTCCAGGTCAGCCCTGGTGACCGAGCCTGGGGATGGGGCCTCAGGGATGCAGCCAGGAACTCCGGCCACAGGGCCCCACCCCTCACACCCAAACCTGACCCCGAGAAAGCCTTTCCAATCAACCCATTTACCCCGCCCGAGATGTCAGACCATGACGCTGGACGCTAGCAGGTGGAAACCACTGTGTGTGTGCATGCGATTGTGTGCATTGTGGGTATATATGCGTGTGCAATCTGTGTATGTACATATAGTGTATACACACATGTGGTGTGCATGTGTGTAATTGCGCGTGTTGTACTGTGTGGTTGTTATGGTTACGTGTATGTGCACATGTGGGTGCACGCACGTATATAATTATGTCTGTGTAATAGCACGTGGTTGACTGTGTCATCACGTGCACATGCTTGTATGTGATTACACACATACAATCATGTAAGAGTGTGACTGTGTGACTTCCTATTTGCTTACAGGTATGTGTGTGTGCACACGTATGACTGTACGAGTGTGTGATCACGTTGGGTGCGTGTGGCATGCACAAGGGCTTCAGTGCAGCAGCCCCATCTGTGCCCAGGACCCCCGAGCTGCTGTCAGACAGGTAAAGCGCTGGGTAACGGGGACCTCGGAAGGGCCAGGTAACGGCTTGGCGGGAAGCCACACGTGCACAGGGGAAGGACCTGGCCACCCAGACAGGGGCTGACTTCCTCCATGTCTTTTCTCCCGAAAAGTTCTTAGAAAAACAGACGGGAGTGAGTGGTGAATGCCACCTCCGTGCCAGGCGGGCTGAGCCTGAGCACTCTCGTCACCGCCTGCCCTCCCCTCAAGCGTGGCATCACATGGGTACACTAAGAGAAACCGAGGCTCGCAGATGATCAGGAGCCAACCCGTTCCTGCACTGGGGGTCCCGGAAGTGAGCGCCCAGCCAGTGCTAACTCTGCCCCCCGTTTCTGACTCAGGACACTTGGAAAACGCTGTTCTCAAGGGCTCCATCCTGCCCCTCACAAATGCCAGGGCCCCAAGAAGCTTGCAGCTCCCCCCGCAACTGGCCAAAGGCCTCACGCCAGTCGCAGAGGGCTGGCCCTGGCCCCCGCCATCCACAAGTCCAGCTGGACCACTTACGCTTCTGATGCCCCCCAGAGGCACCCCGATGCCTGCAGGGCTGGGGTCTGGACCCCTCCCTGCCCAGGCTCGCCCTGCCCCAGACGC